CTGTGACCTGGCTGTAAGTATGCTTTGCACTTGTACTGTCTGGATTGGAAAGTCACCTGGGGAGGTGCTGTCTCCCAAGGAAACAGGCAGATCTATGAGAAAAGGGTGGAAGAAGGAACCTGGGCAACCCAAAGGCAGCACATTAGGCAGGGCATCTCTGGGAGCATGAAGGGAGAGGGACAGTGAAGCTGAAGAGGCGCAGACCAGGAATGTTGAATTCAACACAGACAAGAGGCGGCACATCCCCTTTCCTGCCCCATTTCTGCTCTAAAATAAGGTTATAGAGGGCTAGTCCCCCACAGACATGGCCCTGACTCTAGCCCATCTGTGACTGAATCTCTCCCCTGCCCCACAGGTACCTGGCCAAGCAGCCTTCTCTGCAGGCAGTCCTCCGGAACCCCGGTGGCTGCGAGGGTCTGATGGGGCTGGTAGAAGAGCAGGTCCGTGTTTGCCGGCGGCAGGTGGAAGCCATGGATGCGGTGAAGCGAGGTGCGGAGCTGGCTGTTGAGGAGTGCCAGCACCAGTTTCACTCTCGCCGGTGGAACTGCTCCACCCTGCAGGGGCTGCAGGTCTTTGGCAAGGTCGCCATCCAAGGTCAGTGAGGGGGAGGTGGCACAGGCAGAGCTGGCATGGGGTCCTTTCAGTATGCCCACGGGGTTTCCTTGACACATCAGCCTTTGCTGAGCTAGTGTGCAAGTGTCACACTGGGCCCAGCCCCAGAGTGGCCAGTGCCTTCCTCCGCATGTGTCCTGATTTCGGCAGGGATAGAGTTAATTTCCTTCCTAGTAGCTGGTACAGTGCTGTGTTTTGGATTTAGGGTGAGAACAATGTTGATAGCACACCGATGTTTTAGTTGTTGCTAGGTAGTGCTTAGGCTAGTCAAGGACTTTTCAGCTTCTCGTGCTCTATCGACTGAGAAGGCTGGGGGGGCACAAGGTTTTTGTTGCATTCTCAATTTGTGCCCTTTGAACAGTGCTATCAGGAACTGCAATATAAAAATTAATAGATATCTATCAATACCAGGAATATATTTTATTGCCTGATTTTATTGCTTCTTTCAAAAATTCAAAAATAAACCTTTTTAAAGTATAATTTGAGCAATCTCCCTTCAAACTAAGCAGCTCCAAAAATTTTACATAACCAGTAACAGAAAAATACACACCTACAACATAAGCGCTAGGAGAGCTTGTATCCTATTTGAGCTTTAGAATTAGACTCTCTCAGTACTGTTTAAACACCAATATATTTCAACCCAAAATGGCCCTGGCCCTGACGAATATCTGCTAAATTCAAGAAACGCTTGGCTAACAGCAACTAAACAGTATCACAAACAGCACTTTCATTGTTAGATAGTGCTTATCGGATATTGTTAACACAGCAGAAGAATAATAAGACAATTGTCCTCATTTTAGAGATCACAGAACTAACGCATGAGGAGAAACTAAGCACCCCAGTTACCAGAGCAGTGAGGAGCTGACCTTAAAAGATCTTGATCCATATTAAGTGTGTTGTTCCCTGAATTATATTTCCTTTTCAGTTGTGAGAATGTAATTTCTTTCAAAATCCTCTGGAATCTATGTAATGGCATGTCCTGTTTTCGGCAGGGATAGAGTTAATTTCCTTCCTAGTAGCTGGTACAGTGCTGTGTTTTGGATTTAGGGTGAGAACAATGTTGATAGCACACCGATGTTTTAGTTGTTGCTAGGTAGTGCTTAGGCTAGTCAAGGACTTTTCAGCTTCTCGTGCTCTATCGACTGAGAAGGCTGGGGGTGCACAAGAAGCTGGGAGGGGGCACAGCCAGGACAGCTGACCCAAACTGGCCAAAGGGATATTCCATACCATATGACATCATGCTCAGTATATAAAGCTGGGGGAAGAAGAAGGAAGGGGGGGACGTTTGGAGTGATGGTGTTTGTCTTCCCAAGTAACTGTTACACGTGATGGAGCCCTGCTTTCCTGGAGATGGCTGAACACCTGCCTGCCCATGGGAAGTAGTGAATGAATTCCTTGTTTGGCTTTGCTTGCGTGCGCAGCTTTTGCTTTACCTATTAAACCGTTTTTATCTCAACCCATGAGTTTTCTCACTTTTACCCTTCCGATTCTCTCCCCCATCCCACTGGGGGGGAGTGAGCGAGTGGCTGCGGGGTGCTCAGTTGCCAACTGAGGTTAAACCACGACAGCATGCTAACATAGATGTCAACAGAGAGCAAACTGAACCAAATGCACATGCTGTTTCAAATATTAATATTCTGGCTAAACTTTTTCCTCATTCAGCCAGGCTTGGCTTTTCGGTCCCATCTGGACCATTCTGGGTACCAGCTCTGCAGACTGGTAGATCTTCTCCCCTACCCTGCCACCAGCCCAGCCCTTTGGAGTAGCAGCTCAAATAAAACCTTTTTCTCTGAAGCTGCAGTCCCTTTTTGTTGCAGGCCAGGGAAAAAGGATCTGCCCCAAAACAGCACGGAACAGATTTTGCATGTGTTGGCATGGGAGGAGCCATACAGGGAGCTATGAGCAGGGTCTCTGGCTCCTAGAGACAAGGTGGCAGGGTCTTCCCTGACAAACCCCTCTACGTGGGAGGCTCAGCCTCTGGTGTCCCCCACCACAGCTCCCCTTTCACTTTGCTTGGGGGCTGCTGAGTTTTCTCTCTCAGTGGGACACCCAGCCCAGGAATTGAGGGTGCCAAGTTGAGGGCGCTCAGCCAGAAGGACTCCACAGAGCCATCTCCCTTACTGGCTCCAGGCCTCAGGAACAGCAACACTGGTTGAACATCCTGACAGTGATTTCTCCTGAGCAGTCTCCACCTGAATGCATCCTTCCTGCATGCAGTCATAGCCTCTTTTCCCACCCCCCTGTCCCATCAGTGCCTTCCCCCTCTGCAGACTGGTGCCATTTCTCGCCCCACTGCAGGCACGCGGGAATCTGCTTTCATCCATGCCATCTCTGCCGCCGGCGTTGCCTTTGCTGTGACTCGTGCCTGCAGCCGTGGGGAGCTGGAGAAGTGTGGCTGCGACCGCAAGATCCGAGGAGTCAGCCCCGAAGGTGAAGGAGGAGGCCGGTGGCAGGGAGGGGGTGGCAGAGGAGAAGATCCATGGGGGAGACCCTCACCGGGGGAGGAGGCACCTGCCTTGTCCATGGCCCTCAGCCCTTTGGGACCTCCTCCCAGGGCTTCTCCTTCTTCATCTCATGGCTGCTTTCCTGCTGCAGGTTTCCAATGGTCAGGCTGCTCTGATAACCTGTCTTATGGGATTGCCTTTTCTCAAGCCTTCGTAGACAACCCTGAGAGGAGCCGTGGCATCTCCTCCAGCCGAGCACTCATGAACCTGCACAACAACGAGGCTGGGAGGAAGGTAAGGGCAGGAACAGGGGCTGCGAAGCAAGCCCAGCTTCAGGGCTTCTCCCTGGCTGGGTGGAGCTCGGTGCAGCCCCCTTACCCTGAGGAGCAATTTGGGGCAGCCATGAGCTCCCAGAGGGGGTCTGCATCCTGCTGCCTTTCCTCAGCCCAGCACTGCGCTGCTCACACTGAGCTAGCTCCTCGCCTGCACAGAGGGGGGTCCCAGCCTTCCCTACCTGCCCCTACGCAGTCTCCTTTTCCTCAGTGAGCCCACCTGTGATTTACCTTCTTTGGCCTTTTCTGCAAAGGAAATGAGTTTCCCCGCTCTGCTCTGAAGGCCTTCCCTGCCCCTCCAGTCCCTCCTGAGCAAAGACACCATCCTCTGTAGAGGCCACTGTCAGATCTGGTCCCTTGAGCATCCTCTGGCTCTGGGCGGATCTGTTCCCCTCCCCATGGCCCGTGGGGTCAGAGCAGGTCCCTGTCGCTTCACCTGCCTCAGGGATTTCTCTTACAGACCCAAGCCAGCCTGTTTCCCACAGAGTGGATCCCCTTATGTTTCATATTGGCTTGGCTTAAAAAGACTTTTTTGCTCCCTTCCCTTCCCTTCGGCTGATCCTGCCCTCCAGCCCCATGGGAGGTGTGTTGGGGAACAGTGGCTGCTGGGGGGCTCACAGGCATGGGAAGTGTAGGGCAGGGTGTCCCAGGACTGGCTGGCAGCTGCCTCCTGCTCCCCAGGCTCTCCTGGCCCACATGAAGGTGGAGTGCAAGTGCCATGGTGTGTCGGGCTCCTGCGAGGTGCGCACATGCTGGAAGGTCATGCCCCCCTTCCGCAAGGTGGGCAACATCCTCAAGGAAAAGTTCGAGGGGGCAACGGAGGTTCACCCCAAGCGGGTTGGTTCCCGCAAGCTCCTGGTGCCCAAGAGCTCTCGCTTCAAGCCCTACACGGCTCACGACCTGGTCTACCTGTTGGCCAGCCCAGACTTCTGCGACCGGGATCCCCAGCGCGGGGTCTTTGGCACCTCTGGCCGCCAGTGCAACCGGACATCCCCGGCCATGGACGGCTGTGAGCTCTTGTGCTGCGGCAGGGGCTTCCACACGTCCCAGGCAGAGGTGGTGGAGCGGTGCAGCTGCAAGTTTCGCTGGTGCTGCTCCGTCAAGTGCAAGCAGTGCCGGCACCTGGTGGAGGTGCACAGCTGCCGCTGAGGGGGAGCGTGCTGGGGTGGCGGGAGGCTGCCAGGGGAACTGCAAGGCAGTCGGAGAGAGGACAGCCCGGGGAGAGACACAGGGATGCAGTGGAAGGTGTGGGGGAGACACACAGCCTGAAAGGGAACGGGGGAGACGGGGGGGGTTGCGGTCCTGCCAGAGGGCAGCCCCTGGCACTGGGGGTGCCATCAGCTCCTGTGTGCTCCTCACCCAGCACCCTCTCACCAGCTTCATTGGGCTTTCTGTGGTTTGAATTGTTTTTCCGGATGGAGGGTTGGAGGACACAGGCCCAATAAACCCTTAAACTTTAGAAATAAACCAGCTGCAATGGAAAGCAAAGTGCATACGTCAGCTCCTTCCTCACGTGCTGCATTTGGAACCTGGAGGGTACCTGGCTCTGCTCCCTCCTGTGGGCTGGGAGGGGACAAGGCCACGCTGGAGTCCTCGTGCCACACAGGCTGCAATGAGCAAGAAACACTGGGGAGCGGAGCAGCGGGGAGCAGGGACCCACCTTGGATGTGAGAGGGGTCACTGAGGGGTGTAATAGAGCGGCGGCAGCTGAGAGAAGGGCGCAGATTAGTGTTGTGGGACGCATGGGCTCTTCA